ATTTATGATGGTTACCCAGAGTTTAACACAAGAAAGTGCAGGAAATCTATCCACAACACTAAAGACATAGAATATTTAGCCAAGGGCCTGGATCCCATAGCAGTGTCCTACATGAGTCCACGTGAAGACTTAGAGCCCATGACATTGCCTCCCATGAGTCCAACTGGAGGTTTAAAACCCATGAGAAGGATTGTGGAAGCTAGAAAGCCTGTGCCATCAGGATAAGGAGCTATGCTGGTAGATGGAGGGTTCTACACAGGAGGTGAGAAGTCACACTCATAATAAAGACCAGGGCTGTCCTGAAACACACCATAGCCATTCTCAGTGACATGGAGGTCCTGACCTCCTCTGATGAGAAGCACATTCGAGTACATGTCAGGAAGTCAGCGTGATGAGTTTGCCCTGGAGTTTAAATGGCACACGTCTTCCCCTCCAAAGCCAGGAAGTGATGCTCGATGTAAGGACAAAGCTCCCCCAAAGTGAACCACAGCCACTCTCACCAACAAGGTCCCGAGCTCCTCCGATGACAAAGGTTGAACTCACACTGGGGAAGCTCCTCATGATGAGCTCTCCAGGAGAACCAAAGGCTCAAACAGCAACAAGTAGGAGAACCCACAATGCCTCACTCATCTCTCCAAGTCTCTATTTATGCTGGCAACTTTCCTCAGGTGGAATGTCTAAGCTCAGCACCATGCTGCTTTATTTTAGCTGGCATTAAGTTGACCATCATTTTTAGTTCATAACACTACCCAAATCCTAATGACACAAGGAACTCTCTACCTTATGCAATAACCGACCTGCTTTTCAGAATACTTTAGCTATTAGAAAGTTTAAAAAAAAAATCTAGCATTTATGTAGCTATGTTAGCTTTCTGTTGATGTGACAAAATGTTTGAGAACAATGACTTAGAGGAGGAAAGGTTTAGTCTGACTCGTGGTTTCAGTGACAGCTAGCTGGCCCCACTGCTTTGAGACCTTTGGTGAGGAGGCAGAACCATCATGCTGGGAGGATATGGCAGAAGACGCCTGCTTACCTCATTGCAGCCACTAAACAGAGTGAAAGATCCAGAGAAGGTGGGCTCCAAGGGCATATATAGTACCCAAAGGCTCACCCCGATGACCCCAAAGACCCAATGCTCTTCAATAAGCTTCCATTTCCTGTTTCTATCACTTCTCAATTATGGCATCAAATTACAGATCTTTCAACAAATTAATCCACTGATGAAGCTATAGTCCTCACAAATCAGTCACTTTTCTAAAGTCTTACCTCTGAGCACTGCTGCATTGGAGACCAGTCTAAACTCTCAACACAGGAGACTTTGCGGGGAGAAATTTAGATCTAAACCATTACAGTAGCTCTTTATTTTTTCTGCAGTATCTCTACATATTGTGTTTCTCCTGAGCCCTACAAAATCTTGCTAAAGCAAACCTTATTAATATCCCTATTTTACAGAAGAACAACTCTAGGAAAAACAAAGATATTAAGTAATTTGCCCAAGATTACTTGAGGGATTGCCGTTAGAGTCTTGTAAACCAAATCAATTTATTTTTGACTAGTACGTGTTTTTAAAAATTGAAATTGGATGATATTTAAGTCTATTTTGTACTGTTATAGTAAAACAATACCCGGGACTGGGTAATTTATAAAGAACATAACTTTATTTATCACAATTCTGGAGGCTGAGAGGTCTAATCAAGGAGTGGTATTTACTTCTTGCTGTCTCCTCACAGGGTGGAAGGTAAAAGGGATGGCCCTACTCCCACAAATCCTTTCAGCAGGAACATAGGTCACCTCCCATTAGATCCCACATCTTAGTACCGTTACTATGGCAACAAAACTTCAACATGACTTTGGGAAGGGACATTCAAACCGTAGTAGATGACTTCAGTGTTTTTTTTTAAATCTGCTACCACCATTCCTTATCATTTTAATGGATACTTCCAAATTTTATTTATCTGTACTTGAGAGGCAATTTGAATTCAGAACATCTCATCTATAAACAATATAAACAGAATACAACTTCATTCATCCTAATTTGGGGGCTTATGGAGATTTTAGTACATTGTACCATCTGTTTTTTTCTTTCTATTTCTGAATCATACCAAAAAAGTCAAAATCTGCCCTATATGTGGCAGATTGTAATTATTCCAAGACTCTGCTCTGAGCCTTCTTTTCCTAGGTTTAGTTTTCTAAGTCTTCCATCATTCCTCATAGGATATGCTTATCGGTTTATATAATACAAGGCATGATAGAAAAATACAGTTAATTCTTAAGTTAAAAAATTTACTAAGTAAATTTACTAAGTAAAAGACACACTGGCATTAATCTTCCCTCCCTCACTTCAAAATCATTTCTCCTGACATTCTTTTCATTTGCCAAAGAGCTTCTGGAAGTTCCCTTTTGAATGTATTTTCACACTTTACTCATCACAAGGGTTGATCAAAAACAGAGTGAATGCTGCTGCCAAGTGCCATCTAATGGAAAGACTCATAAAAATATTAAGATGTGTCCTAATTCACCTTATTCACCAGACCTGGCACATGTGACTTCTGGTTCTTCCTTAAAGTCAAAATGTCTATGAGTCAATTCAGAAGATTGGGGCAGCCGCAACAGCACAATTAAAGACACCCACAAAAGAGGCCTTCACAATAGCTTTGCGATTGAAGTGCTTGGGAGTATTTTGGGAAAGGTCATTGACTTTAATGTAATGTATATATATATTTAATTTAAACATTCAGTGTATTTTTCAATCACTCCTCTTATGTTGGCCCCACCTGCCCGGGAAGACTCCAGCTTGCTAACCATGTTCTTAAGAAATAGCCCTAGAATTTAGACAGGAGGTTAGGACAGTGTAGATTTGATCATGTAGCAAGAGACACTCACCCTTGCCAGTATATTTTAGTTTGTTAGTTGTGCGGGTAATAGTTCTGGTTATAGCTCTTGTTACTTTTGTTTCTTTGCAATGGCTGGTCACTGTGATGCATAACTGGTCACTATGATGCATATTGTAAGAACCAATCCCCAAATGACAAGCCATTTGACCTCTGTAGTTTTTGATTGCTTATCCCATATAAGCCCCAGACCACCAGAGATCAGGGCTTGATATTTTGGGAATGATCCTAATCAGTGCCCATTGACATCAATCAAATTGCCTCCAAATTCTGGGTGTCATTTCAGTGTTTCTACTTGCCTTTACAATCAGATCAGTGCAACACAGTTTAACTAAAGCTCAGTGACCTACAGATCACCACAATCCAGGTTTAATGCCTGGTCAGTTAACTTCATATATTTCTTAAATGTTTAAATGTTCAACCAGGAGAAAACAGGCTTATGTGAGACTGTGTCTTTTCTTTATTCTGTCTCTTAAAGTTTATTTATTAAAAAATGGAATAATCAATACCAGACCCCAAAAAGGAGGACTTACAACATACCTGTAAAAGTGAAAATAGGTTAGTAAAACAATTACGGATTCAAGTTCTTTTCCCCTTCTTTTTGGTCTTGGCAAAACATGTGGTTACCTATGCTCCTAAACTATCATTCTGTTGCTTTTTCCAGGAATGTATGCATAATTCTACTATTATTTGGGTCCAGTCGTACTGTGTTTCAGTTGAGACTATTTGCAAGAAGATAATACCAAGAGCTAATGAAATTTTGGTACTTGTCTGTGTGCTAGCTACTGTGAAAACATGTTGGAGATATTTTTCATTTTGTTCTCACAGTAACATTTACAAGGAAGGTATGGTTAACACAGTAACTTGCCCAGGGTCACACAGCTTTTATGGGAGACTGCAGAATGTAAGCCCGGAGTGACATTTCTTAGTTATAGCTGGATAGTTGATCTTCCTCTGCCTCTAACCTGTCACCCAATTGTTCTGAAGTTGAGTGGGGAACAAAGGTAGGCTTTTCAGGTACCTGCAAACTCACGCTTTCATCAAAGACCCGGGAAGAGAAACTTGGCTGACAGATCTAATTCTTTCCCCCCCTACTCCATATTTTTTTGCTTTGAAGCAATTATGAAGCCCTCTCCACCTAAATCTTAGAATAATCATTATTAGATATCTAAGAAATATAAGAAGAGGAAGAGGGAGGAAAAGTGGGGAAAATGTATGCAATTTGTGTATGCCTGTAATTCTAGAGGGATCACAAGTTTGAGTCCAATCTGGGCAATTTAGCAATTTGGTGAGAACTCGTCCCAAAATTAAAAATAAAAAGGCCTGGAGATATAGTTCACTTTGAAGGTCCTCAGTTCAATTCTCAATATCTTCCCATAAAGTTCTTTTAGAAACATGAATTCAAGTGGTTCCAGCTTTTTAAGGGAAACTGGCTGTCTTGTTGACTTATAATATCTCATATGTTACCTGAATAAGGTAGTGACTGATTTTGCAAGCTGCTCCTAGAGTGATTTGGGAAGCTGAATCTCTCTGGTTTCAGTAGCAACTAAACTGTATATGCTTCCAGCATCATCTCTGCAGGGTGTGTCTTTTTGCTATCTGTGACTCTAAGGGAGAATCATTCCAAGGGTGTCTTGCTTACACTGGCAAACTGTCTGAGGAAGGAAATGCTGTGGATCACTTCAAGTTGTTCATGTAAATTCTCTTTATGGAAGAAATACACTTGTTCTTGAAATGACATTGCATATGGCTTCCTATGTGCAGTAATTACACATCTAATGAGAGCCTACAGTGATACTAGGGTGAAAGTTCTCTGTAGCATCTCCATTGGTTCTAGTATATTTTGTATGGTCACAGTTATGTTTTGGAGTGATTGGGGAGCTGTCTTATAGCTCGTCGGTTACTTTCCTTGTGAAGTGTCATAAGATGGTTAATAATTTGCCTTTTATAGAGAAGAAAATTATTGTGCATCTTTGCATTACGGAGTCCTGGTCCTATAAGAAAGCAGAACATGTTCTTGTTTCCCAAGGAGATTTGGAATAAGCAGTGATGGAGAGCAATGGAAGCTAGTTCCCAAAATACTGATTGGGTCTCATTATATCTCTGCAGGAGAAACATGACATCCTGTTTCTCTACCAACATCCTGATTGTTCCCCTGACATCCATTGCTGATTTCTGCAGTGAAAATAATTGAGAATAAATGGCCTGCTGGTGTCCTCCCAACCCCAGTGATGTGGATGAGATGTAAGTGCTTGATTGCCTGCCCTCCACTTGGTTGATTGAATTCCTTCTTCTGTTTCCTTGTTATGGCACCTTGAGTGATGTAACATCTCTGTGCCACAATTTTCTGACTTGCAGTGTTAGAATATTTGTCAGACTGGGGTTAAACCCATAGCCTCACGCAGAATAATAATAGATTTAGTGTTTTAAAAACAAACCCAACAGACCAGAATTTGAATCATATTTTTGCCAGTTACGAATTTTCAAATCTTCAACTTATTAACTGCAATACAGTTATAATAATAGTTCACAGAACTTTTGTGCACAGTGCTGATAAAAATAATTTGTATTCTATCCTTAGGACAGTGCCTGGCATATCAGTAAATAGTCATTTTATTACCATTAGTACCATTATCATTTTTACTTATTTTTTAAAAACCCTTAAGAGCATGTTGGTGACATCCAGTGATGACACCAGGAGGGCTATTACAGGGAGTCCAGTAGAGGAGGTACTTCTGGCTTCAGTGAATTGTAAGAGCTACTGCAGGCCACCAGGGAGGACAGAGACAATTGCAAAACCAGAGAGAGCAAATTTCTGTTGGACAGTGACCCTTGACTATCTACAAATGGGTTGCATGTGTGTGCTAACTCCCCACTGGTGACTTGGACCATTAGTTGATCACTGGCTTCTCTCAGGAAGTTCCATGTGGGAACTCAGGCATGTTCTTAAGTCCCACTGATGACAACTTGAGTCTAGTTACTCTGAGTCCTTAGCCCTACTAAACATTGACCTTGGGTACTGTCTCTGGCCTGCTCATTTCAGTTTTGGCAAGAATCTTAACTGAGTCAGCTCAGTGAAAATCCCCCACTCTTAAAACTTTGGGTCAGATATCTCCTCAGCTCTGCCCATAGGCATGTCAGTCACTTAAAGAGCATCCGTCTGAAAATGGCAATACAATTTATTAGCCCTAGACGTACCTCATCTACCTCATGCTCCTTCAAAACCAAGGACCAAAATAACAATAACTGAGACATTTAATAAGATTTGCAGGGACGTTTAATTTCAGTTTTTATACAGTTCTACTCCAAATCCCCTGCCTCAAGTCTCTAATCATTGTCTTAAGCCCTTTGTCACTTGCTATTCCAGAAAAAGCAGAGTCCTGAGATAATGATCAACCAGACTGCAATGTGACCAGGAAAACTGTGTGGCCAGCTCTGCCCTCTCCACCCCAGCTATGAAAACCTCAAACCCTGCCTTTGTTCTCCTTTGCTATTAAACCTCAAAGTTCCGTTAGTCTTTCCAGGACAAATCTTTAAATTCTTTATGTGGCCACACTGATTAAAGCTCTTTTTCAGCCCTTCACCACTACCTGTCTCAGTGATTGGTATTTTGAGATTTCATGGCACAATCTGATCTGTGGGTACCCACGGAGTGAAGCTTTCCCCCAAACTCTAGTGACACTTGTCTGTGAGCAGTTGACCCCAATCTCTTGTCCTTACTGTAGAACTCCTGTTTGGTGGCCTATCTTGAATAAAGCTAAATAAACTGTGACCCAAGTATGAGGTTGAGGCTGATAAATATTCTTTGCTTGACCTGACTTTTGTTAGACTCTGGAACCTTCTCCAAACCCATCTGTGTGGTTCTTATAGAATCCAGTGTTACCAAAGATCCCTGCAAAACTCCCCCGACTTATGTGTGATCAAGTTCCTCATCCTACAACACTGCCAGATGTCTTTGTGACCCTGACCTGTCTGCAGCAGGAATCCCGTTAGATCAATTTAGTCCTTCTTACACCAGATATTTCATTTTAGTAATTTTTTGTGCACTGACCTCATCTGCTCCTTGACTGTAAATTTTCATTTGATCCTGTTGTATTCAGAGCTGAGTTCAGTCTCCCTCTTGTATTGGGTTGGTCCTCATGCCTGTCAGGTGGTTCTGAATAGTCTTTGTTACTATGTTTTAACAAATGTCATTATATTTTTCTCTAATGAAGCCGAGAGTTAACAGATTATAAGACAAGCACTCAGACTATAAGAAAAGGCAGCTTTAGCTCTTGTTTCAGGGTTGAGGCTGGTGCTAAAAAGCCTTTACCAGGTCGTGTGTGTGTGTGTGTGTGTGTGTGTGTGTGTGTGTGTGTGTGCGCGCATGTGCCCATGCATTGGTGTGTGCAGTGCATTCAGATAAACTTGTCTTCAGTTTATAGTATGGCTCTGTCCCTCCAGGAACAATGGATTAATAATCTACATAAGGCATTTAATTAAAAATATGTCATCATCTCATTACAGTCTTCTCTGAGGATACATCATTATTCTTTTTCCGCTAATAGAGGCGGTGTGGGAGCAGAGGCTCGCCAGCCTGCAGTGGCAGGTGCAGAAGGAGGGTGGTGTGGTGGGGAGAGGGGTCCTGGAGGTCCCACTTTCCCTCCATAGCCCTGTTCCTGTTTCTTTTCTGTGCTTCATGCTCAGCCCTCGCCATGGGTATCTACCCTCTGGAAGGCGAGCATGCCCTTGGAAGGCTGCGGGTTCCCTTCAGGCAGCTCCTCACCTCTCCTGGGAGATCAAGAGAGGATGTGTAGACCACAGCTTGACAGTCCTGTCTTCCTTCCTTTCAAATGTAAGCACAAGGAAGCAGAAAGGAACACACAGGGGCCCCAGAAAGAAGAGTCATGAATTATTCATCTCCTAGTCTGGGCTGCAGGCTCACAGCGTCTCCTCTTTTCCATCCTGAAAGATAGCCAATGAGAAAGACCCTTTCTTCACTGGTTGAATTACTGCATGTGAATGGCTGGAGGATCCATTTCAAAGCTGCTTTTAGAATTGGCCTATTAAAAACAGCAGCCCAATTTGTTTCAGGAGCTACACCGGAAATGAATGAAGGCGCTTCCATCTCTGCCAGCTATTAAAAATGCTTTGGCTCTCACAGAGCAATTGTTTTAATTAAATCAATAGTTATGTTTTATTGAATTCAATGCTCTTCAGCAAAAATCAGCATACAGCCTTGCAAAACTTCATTCAGGCTCATAGCGGGCCTGCAAATCGAGAGGCCAGCTTTTAAGGATTAGCTGGTGGGCCTCTTCCCAGTGTTACAGTTCTGAAATCCTCAAGGCTGTTCCCAGAAAAGTGTTGTCCCTGTCTTTGGGGAGGGAGTCAGGTAGCCATGACAGGATGCTCCCTTTCCTGGATTCCAGGGGATCACAGGGTTAGGACAATGGCTCCAAGCTTTTGGGTGGAGCTAAATGTCCCCTGAAAACCTCTTCCCTTGAAGTCCTCAATCTTAAAGGGGAACTAGGTACTATACATCTAGGGCTAATCAGCCTTGCCTGGCCAGCTCTGAGACAAACACTTCCTAAATGATCAACCCACTCCTGTGCAGATTTGAGAAGAGATTTGACCCAAGATTCACAGTGACAAAGGATAGAAAATGAAGGTCAATCTTTGTTCTGCTTTTAGATATCAATGTTGAGCATTTCTAGTCCTCAGTAAATTATTATGGTTCATAGCAAAAAATCCATTACTGTCCCAAAGGAAAACACAAATCGTGCTGACTGAGTGGCAGTAAGAGCCTGGGATTTTGCCCGTTCCCTTCCTCATGCTATGACTGCATCATGCTGTCATGCTGTCATGATGAAATAGCTCCATGTTGCCAGTATGCATTCATTTTCCCCCTCAGGAAAACCTGAAAATCCTGGCTTTTCTATGGGTGTCAAGCTTTAAATATTAGTTAGAGGTAGATAAAATAATTGGATTATACTCTTCACTATCCTTCCTTACCAGCTCTAATGTGGGGGCAGGTTTATATTACCTAGCCCATTGTCGTGGCCCTGTGACTATTCTGCCTGATGCATGCAAGTCGCATTGATGGGTACATCCTGCAGGGTGCAGCTTCAAGGCCACTGCATGGCTCTGCTCTGCATCCTTCTTCCTCTGTTATGGAAAGGTGATTCGAGGAAAGAGTTTTCTTTCCCCAACTTAGATCTGAAATGGTCAGGGGCATGACAAATGAACTGAAAGAGTCAAATTGACAGCAGGAAAGGAAGGGTTTATTTTCCCGTGTACACATAAGCTTCCATTAATGGGAAACTCAAGGAAGAGCCCCAAGTAAAGACTGATGTGTGCAATTTAACAAAAGGGAGGTTTTGGGGGCTTTAATGTAAGAGAATAGAATGTTCTATTGGGATTTTTGATACTAGTGATAATTGCTAGTCTGTCATGCTGGCTGTACGAAGCTGGATTTGTACTTGTTGGGGATAAGGGTCAATCTTGCTCAAACTGAAAAATTCTTAGGAGTCAACAGCAGCTAAATTTTCAGGAATGTTTTCCTTTTGCGGTATTTAAAATCAAACCACAACACTTCTGCTACTGAGCTACATCTTTAGTCTTTTTTATTTTTTATTTTGTGACACTATTTTATTCACTAGGTTGCTCAGGCTAACCTCAAATTTAGGATCCTCCTGTTTTATTTAGCCTCTTGAATAGCTGGGATTACAGTGTATACAACTGTGTCCACCATAAATTTTGGGATGTTCTGCTCAAGTTTGGATGATGATTCTTTCTGTGGCTACTTTCTATAACATGTTATTAATTTAAAATATCTCCATACTGATAGAATTTTTCGGCACGGGAGGAAACCATTTGATAGGATTTTGGGGTGGCTGAAAAGATAAGAAGTATAAAATTAAAATGGACCTTTACTTTAAGAATGTGGGGAGAGACCCCCTGACCTTCTAGGGTCTGGCATTCTCTCGGGCAGACACATGGTGTGGGGGCATACATGTAGCTAAGGTTTGGGGTGGTGCCTAAGGGGAATTAGTGATGCACAGGTAGCCCTTGGTATTCATTTCACACCGCAGGTGAATTCCTAGGGGCGGGGAAGATGACTTCAAAATAGAGTCCCTTGGTTCTGCCTCCCAGCTTTACCGGTTACAGTGTCCCAACTGGGGCAAAATCCTTTCACATACCTGTTCCTGTTCCTTCACTGAAATCCCAGACAGTACTTGCTGTTTGAGCCTTTATGTCAGAATG